GGGTGCCCGCGCGGGGACGAAGCCAAGTCTGGAGGGGAGGCGGCGCCTCTCGTCCCGGTGCTCAGACCCAACGCTGTGGGCTGGGGCCACGAACCCCTGGCCAGCATCGCTGCCGCCCCGAAGGCGTCCCCGGCGCTGCCGCAGCTCCCGGGCTTCAACTCCAGACCCCGAGACTGCACGTAGGTGAGAAAGCCGTTGAGCGGCGCAGACCCGGGGGGCGCCGAGGCGGGGGCCGAGGGCGACGAGGAGGAGGCAGCGGCGGCGGCGGCAGCGGCGGCGGCAGCGGCCAGGTCTTTGGCACGGAGGCTGTGCACGTCGATGACGGTGGAGTAGAGATCTCGCAGGTTGATGATCTTGGTCTTCTTGTCCCGGTTCTCGTGCAGCACCGCGTTGGCGCAGATGAAGAGGAAGATGCCGATGCCCATGATGAGGGGGCCGAAGACCTTGAGCTTGTCTGAGTGCAGGTAGCCGGAGAAAATGCGAAAGAAGAAACCCACTGACGGGGAGGAGGACGAGGAAGGGGCGGTGGACTGCGCGGGAGGTGTGCTCCTGGGCGCGCCCACGGAACTGGAGTTGACACTCTCTGGAGTTCCCAGGTGGCTCTTCGTCCGGTTTTTGCTGTCACTGCTGCTGCTGTTGGCGGTAGTCAGGAAGCGCTGGCCGCTGCCCGCAGGCGGCATCTGCTTACCGGCCTCCCTGTTGGCCCCACTGGTCTTGGGCCAGTAGCCCACTACTGCCAAGGCTATGCCCACCAGCAGCACCAGGATCCCGCAGAGGGCGATGAGCCCCGAGATGGAGCACAGCTTTAGCTTGCCTTTCACCACCACCACGTCGTTTTTGCGCCTCTTCTTGGCTTTCCTCTTGCGCTTGGGGACTTGGGTTGGGGGGCGGAGAGGATCCTGCTTTCTGGCGGAAATCCTCAGCAGGCCCCCGGTAGCGATCATGGCGAAGTCGTGGCCAGCCCCTGGGGCGGAGGCTTGTGCAGGGGGGCCGCCAGCTGCCCACTAGCTGCTCCTCCACCTCCTCCAGCTGCAAAGCAGAGGAAGATAGTCAGAGGAGTAGGCTTGACTGTAGCAACACCTCATGGGCTGCAATCGCCGAGCTGCCAAATCCCACTCTGTGTCCCCCCCCCCCCCCCCCCCCCCCGGGCTTTAC